AAATCGCTGTTTTTTAAAAATATATTTTATCTTTCCCCCAAATGTTATCTGGACAAATTATCTAAACCTCTTCAGTTATTATCTAATATTTATTCATATTTTACTGTTTATGCATATTAATGCTTTCTACCTGCAGTTCTTTCTCGTTTATAAATCTTTGCAACAAAATGTTGATTTCTGGGCGGATCTTTGAGGAGTCCATCAGAAGGACTGGGGGAGGCCTGTAGCATGTCTATGTGCATCTACTTCACCGAAATGCGGGTTTTCCAGTGTCGGTTATCCACATGGTTACTGTTGCTTTTACATCCGTTGAAAGGTTTACAACTGTCATTTTTAATTCTAAAATATTACATTTACTACCATTATAATTTCAATAATTTGTGAATTTCTGTGTAGGTTTAATTTGCTTGCTCTGGAAGGCTCTTCAGGGGTGTCCACAAAATACTGTATGGTCAAATGGTCAAGCCATAATCACGCCAACAGGATTTTTGATATGGTTGTCAAATGTTTGTTCTTTCACTGTTTGATAATTCCTAGTACTATACTATTAATATTCATGCTATTATAATTATATATGCAACAAGTTTATGGGGGAATTTAAAGCATAATTTATTTGTGATACTTCATGCACTCTGCTTTTATCCAAAAGATAAACAGCTTTTAATATATTTCTCTACATTTAGTCACAATTTTCCTCCCTGCAGTTTCTTATCTAGACCTTCAGGAGAATAGCGTAGTCATCTTCTGCAATGGTACATGGGAATGACCCTGGGAGACCGGGGGGGGGGGGGGAATCCGCAAACTGGACAACCGACGTGTAAAAGGTATCTCAGCCCAGAGAACAATGAGAGGGTGGGAAACATTTCAGAAGAGACCCTCCCTAGTTTTCCAGAGAGTAAAAGGAAAGGAGGGGAGAAATACTTTCAGTCTTGCAAGATTGTTAATGTAACTTTACAATAAAGATAGTACTCCTGGTTGTGCTTCTCATCTGGACTACCTTGCAAGGCTAACATCTTCACCATCTTCTACATGACAGTCCTTCACTTATTTAAGGACAGGTACAGACATAGTCCACAAAATCTCCAGGCTAAACATATCACCTCTTTGAACTCATTCTTTGTGGGATTTGAGTTTCAGTCCATCTCACCAATATCTTAATTTCCATGACTATGACATGTGGATGACAACCATTACATGACAAAGATATCATTGTTGTAAACCGCCCAGAGTCTCCCATTGGGGGGAGATGGGCGGGGACAAGTCTGCTAAATAAATTAAATCAATCAATCAATCAATCACATTCAGGCCAGGGTGAGATTCTTGAGAACCAGATGGACCAATCATCTGACTTACTGACTGGCTAGGTTCACATATTGGTAGGCTGCACAGAACATACTAGATAAATAATAGTAATAGTAACAGTAATAGTAATAATAATAATAATCTACTTTGAAGTTTTACCATGAAGATTCCAAGATAATGAAGAACTCTGAACGCATAAAGACATTGCTATATAAATGCTACATTATTTAAGTAGCTCAAGTTGTGAGTTCTGAATGTATTATGCAGAACTTATCTAAAAGTAGCACCACATGACTATTTTTGTAACTTTCAGACCATTAATGTGCCACATCAATATGCATATATGAGCCAGACAGCTACAATTTTCTTAATGAAGTAGTTAATTATCGGTTTTGTTGTTGTCTATAGCTCCCAGATTTCCTGCTGATGTCATACAAATACTAACCAAATCTAGTCATAAATCTTTTCATCTTATATACAAGAGCAAGGGATAGAGCAAGCCTAGATTCCTGCAAGTAATAACCCTGATTTGTCACAGTTGAATTGGACTGCTCACACTATACCCTGAAATCCAAGCCGCATCAGAAAAGACTTTTTAAATAGAAGTTCTGGCATTTACATTAAAAAAAAAAAATTCTGTCCTATTTTTATGCAGCTGTACTGTTTCACATTTTAAAAAGTCTGATGGGAAACAAAAGAGAATTAGAGTATACGCAGTACATGTCTTTTTTGTTGGCTTACATCATGGACATATCACCATGTTCCAAATAAAAAATAACACCATTTTCGCCTAGTTAGCTTTTAACTGGCATTCGGGCTATTGCAGATTGACAAGAAAGAAGATTATTACTTTCACCAGCAATACTGCACTCGACAGGATTATTTTCACAAGACTCAGTATGCGGTTTTATGCCAAAAACAATGAGCCAGTGTTTAGTTATACAGGCATAACACACTTCACATTTTAAAACAAAAGGGAATGTTCACAAAGATCAGCATAGTCAATATAGCACATTAACGCAGGTAAGATTTCTTCACAGCCAACTCAATATTTAAATAAATTTAAATTTTGAATTCCCTCCCTTTGTTCCATTTATTTCAAATCAGTTTTGGCATGGAACACTGATGACTATACGCACTCCCATGACACATTTTGAGAGTTCTACTTTATATACTGGAAACAGCTCAGACCAAGGATTAGAGCTTCCCACAAAAGCTGAAGAAAAATATTTTATCATCATCATCATCATCATCATCATCAATATTAAAGGTAGTTATCCATCATTAAATAGATAGTAATATTCTTGGGACAAATAGTGTAAGTTGCAAGAGGAGTGGAGGAAAAAAATGCCAGAAAACCATTTCAATTCCACATTCCTGACTTTACTATAAGTTGAATGAAATCTGAAATAACGGAAATGTACAAAGCTTGAGAGAGCCAGTCTGGTGTAGTGGTTAAGGCATCAGGCTAGAATCCGGGAGACCGGGAGTTCTAGTCCCGCCTTAGGCACAAAGCCAGCTGGGTGACCTTGGGCCAGTCACTCTTTCTCAGCCCCAGGAAGCAGGCAATGGCAAAGCACTTCTGAAAATGCCAAGAAAACTGCAGGGACTTGTCCAGGCATTCATCAGGGATTAAGACTGATTTGAAGGCACAGAACAAAACACAGCTTGAACAAAATCTTCAGCAATTTGGGCATGTGTCACTAATACATGAATTAGAGAAAAATCCCAAATTTCAGGGCAAATCTCAGAGCTTGCTGTTAGAAATTGTAGATTTTTCATAAAATGCATGCTCTTGTAGCTTCACTAGCATCAGTTTGCCTCATACTAATTCTGTAACTTTCTCTCTGAACAGTAGGTAGCAAAGATTTGTGCCAAACCATTTAAGTTGATGAGCATGTACTTTTAAGTGGCACAAACTGGCCAGGAGTTGTTTCTTATTTAGAAAAAAAATGACACTCATTTATTTTGATGTTTGTACAAGTAGACGTATAGTAAAGTCAGGAAGTAGATAATGATGGCAACTGAGATTGGAATTTCCATCACTAAGCGACGTGGTTGTAAACCACGGTGTCACATGACCACGCCGCTTAGTAATGGCAGTGCTGGCACTTCCAATTGCCATCATTAAGCAAATCCCGTGCCACCATTAAACATGGCATCATGTGGTCCCCATTTGCGACCTACTGCCGGCTTCCCCATTGACTTTGCTTGTGGGAAGCCGGCAGTGAAGGTCACAAATGTGACCACAGGACGCTGCAATGTTATAATTGTGAGCCGGGCTACCTGTATTAGAGAGAAGAGGATGCTCTCAGATGCAGCTCTTCTAGTCCTGCTGATAAAGCTTGGACAGATTCTCCAAGATGCACACTTGTCCATGTCTCCAAAAGCATTCTACAATGACTTATTATTCACTCTACATTTACTGCCAAGT